ACTTATGTAGAACCTGGTATTTTCTTCGTTCTTAAATGAAACAGCAGTCTCCTGCTCATCGTTTTTTTAGAAGTGGTAGTTATAGACTGACTTGGCAGCCTGGAGCACAAAACTAACTAGTAAAACCTAGGTTAGTTTTAGTCCGGCATCTATCAACGATAGCAATACCCAGTGGAAACTTTTGAGCTCAAGAGGCAGTTCAATATTCAAGATCACAGGTGTGCTCATTTGGCAAATGAACAAGTTGCCGAGTGCCTGAGGCACTCGGCAAAGGCCAAATTACACTCGGCAAAGAACGCACGGCAAAAAATTGATCAGCAAAGCCCTCTTTGCCGAGTGTCTTTTACCGGACACTCGACAAAGGCTTTGCCGAGAGCCCCGAGGGCACTCGGCAAAGAAAAGCGACCGTCACGGCGCCGGCCCCGTTGACGGTCTCTTTGCCGAGTGCCAACCCTGTAGGCACTCGGCAAAGATTTTTTATTTTTTTTAAAAAAAAATTGTTTGCCGAGTGCCCCTGGCCGGCGCTCGGAAAAGTTTGAATTTTTTTTAAAAAAAAATTCTTTGCCGAGTGCCCTCTGGTTGGCACTCGGCAAAGTTTGAATTTTTTTTTAATTTCTTTGCCGAGTGCCCTCTGGCTGGCACTCGGCAAAGTTTGATTTTTTTTAAAAAAAAATTCATTGCCGAGTGCCCTCTGTCTGGCACTCGGCAAAGTTTGAATTTTTTTTTAAAAAAAAAAATCTTTACTGAGTGTCATGGTCATGACACTCGGCAAAGCTGGAAAAACGGTTTTCCGAGCGCCCATTTTTTCAGCTTTGCCGAGTGCTGTGACCATGGCACTCGACAACGGGGTCCTTTGCCGAGTGTAACACTCAGCAAAGTGACCCAAAACGGCAATTTTTGATTTTTTTTTTACATTCCATCATGACAAATAAATTCATACAAACATATATCACAGATATATCTCATCCATCACATATATATCTCATTCATCACATATATATCTCATCCATCCACACATCCATCCGCACATATCACATTCATCACAATATATATCACATATATAATAATAAGTGCTTAAGTCCATCCAAATAAATCCACAAGTCCATCAAAGTCCACAAGTGCATCACAAGTATATCACAAGTCCATCACCAAGTGAATAACAAATGAAAAAAATACAACGTGCACTCATCTCGGCCACTGCGACTGTGGTGAAGGCCCAGCTCCATCATTCGGAGGTGCATGAGGTGGATTATTCGAACCACCGTCAGATGGAGACTGCACAAAGGAGTAAAGATTGCATGCGAGACAATATTATTTGGATAGCTAATCTAGGAAGGTAGAGGCCATACAAGCAAAGCACAAGTGAAAGTAAAAAACTTTCATACTTATAGGAGTAGCTGCAGCTGTAGCTGCAGCTGCAGGACGTAGAGGCGGAGGTGGAACCAACAGCCCAGCTGGCAGAGAGAAGCCCACACGTTGCCCAAGCCCTTGTAGGAACTCCGTAATGTCCGTCAGCCTCTGCGCCTGGGCCTGCCGCTCGGTCTGCTCGGCGTCCAGCTGGGCCGCCAAATCCTGACGTTGCCTCATTTCTTGTTCCAGCCGGACCTGCAATATTTCACTCCAATGTTTCAGTAATGCAAAACTAATTAAGGTGTGTAAAGATCAATGTATGACGAGTAAAACAGGAATAACCTCGAGTGCGTCGACCCGGTGCTGTGCAGCGGTTGGCCGTGCGCGAATGGTCGAACTCTCGGTCGTGCTCCGTGCTCGAATCTGACAGAGAGAGGGAGTAGAGGCTGTGTTGAGATATCACATGTAGAGATGTCCTGGTTTGTAAGTATCGTACGTGACAACGTGCATGAAATCTTCTGAAATTTTTATCATAGCCTCCACATACGATATCACGACATCTCAACGAGTTTCATGATTTTCGGATTTCGTTTGCTTTTTGTAGAATTTAAAAACACTTCGCATGCAAGTTCGCGGTCATGTTTCGTGAACAAGATGTCCGAAATTTCGGGTCCGTTCCTGGATACGGCCTCACACTACACTCACTAACATGACTATCAATTTTTAAATCATTAAATTCCATTATTCGTACCACGTGCAGTTCAAATTTATATTTTTCGAAAAAAAATTCAAGTAAACGAAATAAAGTAACTAAATATATCAAAAAGCCACAAAAAATCTCCAAATTCTAATTAGGAGTTCCTGGTGCTTTAAAAGGGCTGCACAAAAATTTTGGAGACCAAAAACAAAAAAAAACTTTGCCGAGTGCCGGGGCATGGCACTCGGCAAAGAGGGTCTTTGCCGAGTGCCAAGAATAAGGCGCTCGGCAAAGAGTATTTTTTATTTTTTTTAGAAATTTCCTCTTTGCCGAGTGCCTCCACAGGGGCACTCGGCAAAGGCATTTCAAAAAAAAATTAAATCTTTGCCGAGTGCCGTGTAAGGGGCACTCGGCAAAGTATTTTCTAAAAAAAAACTTTGCCGAGTGCCAGATCTAGGACACTCGGCAAAGACATTTCAAAAAAAAATAAATCTTTGCCAAGTGCCGTGTCAGGAGCACTCGGCAAAGTATTTTCTAAAAAAAAATTTGCCGAGTGCCTAACAGTAGGCACTCGACAAAGAAGGACGTGGCCGAACACCGTTACGCGGGGCAGCCTATGCCGAGTGCTGCGCTTTTGCCGAGAGTCTGGCACTCGGCAAAGAAGTCCTTTGCCGAGTGCCCGATTTTTGACACTCGGCAAAGCAGTTTGTACTCGGCAAAGGCTCTGTTTCCAGTAGTGGTACTTGAATCAGGGTATTACCTGCTGAGTTCTATCTCAATTTTTTTATCCTCATTCTCCTAGTCCTAAGACCAACATGTTGAAACCACATAACCTCCACACGGCTCCGTCCATGGGAAATCCTATCCTTTTAATGTTTTAACTGGACAATCAAAATCATCTGTTCATTGATCTCGAATCATTATTTTATAGCATCAGGGTTTTAATTTACAGGGCTTTTATGAATAGTCCAAGGGGAGGGATTATCAATACTATAACTAATGCAAAGTTATGCTCACCTGTCTTAAATTCTATGCTAGTCAACTACCCATACCAACACGAGCCAAAAAAAAAAAGATGATCATTTGTAAGATAATAAGACTGCTGAACCACATATCACAAATATGAGTACATCAAGTAGATATAATTAGTTACCTGTAGCCCTGATCAGATATTTGGAGATATCAGTGATACAGTAGTAGCGTCTGAAAGACCTGTTCTTCCTGTCATCAAGCTTGGCAATGCCATGCAGCTTATTGTCCTTGACGCCAACTTCGATCACCCATCCCTCCGGTGAACGGTCATCCACCTTGGACAAGAAATAAATGGCCAAATTGCCATCCATGCCAAGCCCCAAGGTAGGGTAACCAGTGCACAGCCTTCTCAAGCTCACCGCCGCATCCTCTGGATCAGTGCACAGCCTTGTTGGCAACTCCAGCAGCACCTCGCAGTGCCTTGGGTTTTGGACAATGGTGTCGGCCACATCGATTGTGCAATCCTTGTGCCAGTCGTTCCACGAAGTAATCGGCACTGGCATGCTCCAGACGGTGGCCGTCCAGTAATCAGCAACGTCAAAGTCATCTTCACCGTCAGAGCTGGAGCCGGAGCCGGAGACGGAGTGGTCCATCGGCTGCCGGCGTTGAGGTGATGGGACAACCCCAGGGCGAAACTCCATGTCGACGTACTTGATCTTCACCTCCTCTAGGATTGTGAGGACGGTGATGTCCCTCTGACCGATTGGGCTACCTACGCAGAAGCTGCTTCTGTTGCTCCTCGCCGGCTTAGGCAGTGTGGCATGTCACGGAGCACGGGGTTTTTATCGAGCACGTCGCAGAACAGGATGCCCCTCCACAGATCGACCCAACCAACGGTTGTAGATCCGAGAACGACGGCCTTGGTAGTGTTGTGGAAGACCTCCTCGGTGGCCGAGTCGGGGATGGGGAGCACCCTGTCTCTCTCTGGATGGTGAAGGGACAAGGGCGTCATGGTCCAGCTGCGGGTGTCGGAGTCGTAGCGCTGGAGCCTGAAGTGCAATCGGTTGCCGGTGATCCTGAGGGCGGCGATGACGTAGCGGGAGCCTCCGCCGGAGCAGCGCAGGATGACGACATCGCTGTCCCGGAAGCAGGGGGCGCCGGTGGGCCTCGGGAGCAGGACGAGGGAGGAGGCGCCCGGGCGCGGGCAGGCCGTGTAGACGAAGTAGTCGAAGGAGCTGTCATCGTTGATGCCCGGCGCGCCCGGGATGGTGACGCGGAGGAGGGCTAGATCGGCGTGCGTGCTGACGACAACGGGGGGAACTCTGACGCAGCGCACGGCCGGGGTGCCGGCGGGGGGCCCGAAGACGGTGCCCACGGTGGGGCCGAAGACGGGGCCTGGGAAGTGGGCGCAGAGGTAGGAGAGGAGCGGGGGGCGGCCGAGGCACAAGGAGAAGTGAATGGATTTGCCGGTGCTCATCTGCCCGACGGCGGTGGTGTGCCCGACGGCGGTGGTGGAGTTGGAGACGGAGTCGGTGGAGACGTAGGCGGTCTTGTCGAGGAGGACCCAGCTTGGGCTCAGCCCACCGCCTTCCTCCTCCTGGGAAGGGAGGGAGGCGGAACCACATCCATGGAGACGGGGCGGGCGGGGAGCCGAGAATCCGATCATTCAGATCTGACCGGATACGACAGCCTCGAGCTAAATACACTAGTGTCCCTTAAATTTGTGCATCTGTGCCACTTAGGTCGACGAACTTGCAAAATCAAAATCTGTAGTAGTATCATCCTAGTAAAATACCACAACTGTTTATTTATGCAGCAGCCATCATATCGATCTCAGCTCATGTACAAATAGTATATGCGAGTATGCCACATCTCACCAGATAGATAAGTACCAGTAGCTAGCTCCTGACATGGATGATCCATGCATGTGCATGGCCTAATTCGATAGCAAGCACGCACATCAATCAATATAATCAAGCATTCAAGCGTAGGCGACGGAGGAGTCGTCGTGGTTGGGCATGTGGTATCTGTTGGTGAACCAGGTCTCGTCGGCGATCACCCTGTTGCCGTCCTGGTTGCGGTACCAGGCGTAGTGCGCGTGCGTGCGGTTCTTGATGTCCAGCACGGCGTGCCCGAAGCTGTACTCCCGGAACGCCGAGTAGGCCGGCTGCGGCCAGGTGAGCTCGTCGGCGGGCCCCTCGATGTTGCCGCCATCGGTGCTGTTGGAGTACCTGTGTGTGCGCTCGTAGGCGTGGACGTGGCCGGCGAAGACGACGTCGACGCGGGCGTCCACGGCCATCTTCTCGAACTGCGCCCGCATCGGCTCCCCCTCCATGTAGTGGAAGTTGTTGCTGTTGTACCAGGGCACGTGCGAGGAGATGAAGAACCACGGCGTGGTGGTCCTGTCAACCTTGGCCAGCTCCGCCACCAGCCACTTCCACTGCGGCGTGTACTTGCCGAAGGCGGAGTAGGAGGAGAGCACGACGATGTGGGCGGGTTCCAGCTTCACCGAGTACCAGTAGGGCTCTGACGAGCGCCGCTGGCGCGCGGTAGGGCGTCGGGTAGCGGTGGGCGAAGGGCCTGAAGGCCTCCGTCTCCCCGAGCTCCGGCGCGTAGTCGATCTCCTGATTGCCCGCCGTCCAGATCCAGGGCTGGTACGCGAGGACCCGCTCCGAGAAGCGGCCCCACGTGTCCCACCGGTTGTTGCCGTGCAGCGGGTGCTTGTCGGCGTAGGAGAGGTCGCCCACGAAGAGCACGGCGTCGCCGGGGTGCTGCTCGTAGTGCGACAGCGTTCGGTTGGAGTCCGCCGTCTGGCCCAGGTCGCCGATCAGGCCCAGCCGGAGCGGCGCGTCGGGCGATGGCGCCGGAGGCGTCGTGAACCAGAACGTCCTCACCGTGTCGCCCACCCCAATGGCGTAGTAGTACCTGGTGCCGTGCTCCAGGCCAGCAAGCGTGCAGTGGTGGATGTAACCGGAGGTGTAGTAGTAGAAGGTGTAGCGCGTGGTGGCGCCCTCGGCGGCGAGGTCCAGCCGGCCGGGGGCGCGGCCGTACAGCACGGTGCTGCTGCCGGCGGCCTCCACGGTCACCCAGGACACGGTGATGGCCGTGCCGGTCTGGTCGCCCAGCGTGATGTGCACCTGCGGCGCGTTGCGGCCCGGCGGCACGGCGAACACGTCCGCGTCCAGCGGCATGTCCTCCGACGCCTCCAGCCGCCGGCGGTACTTGCTCGTCACCCCGCGCGCCCGCCGGTATGTGCCCAGCTGCTCCAGCTTCGGTCGTTACTACTACGACGGCGGCGGCGAGGAGGAGGAGCAGCGCCATGACAAGGACACGGCCAGCCATGGCTACCGTACCTCTTGCTTGCTGCTTGTTATTGTTGGCCCACGGCATCACCGTCTGACGATAGTGAACTAGTCTCCAGACCACTAGTCTCCCAGACCACTTGTCGGTGTTTCGAACCGGGGGGTCCTCAACCAACCAGTAAATGTGAACTGCGTGCCCCTAATCCCGGATGATGATGCAAAGAGACACAAGGTTTATACTGATTCAGGCAATCGGCGCCCTACGTCCAGTCTGAGAGATCGATCTTGTATTCTCTGCACCGAAGTGCTTGTAGTAGGGGGTTACAAGCTGGGTGAGAGAGGGAGCTAGTCCCAGGTCTCGGCGTGGAGCGGTGCGGGCTGCTTGAGACGTTGCTCTCAGGCAGCGGGAGAGTGTGAGTGTGTTGAGTGAGTGCGTTTGCGCGTGAGGGCCGGCGTGATTTCGATCCCTAGAAACGGCCCTGGCTGCTTCCTTTTATAGCCACAAGGAGGGAGCCAGGAGTACATGAGAGAGCTACACGTGGAGCCTTAGCGAGGAAGGAAGATCCAGTACTGTGGCCTATTCCTGTAGCAGCACAGTGTCGGGAATGGCAATTGGTACTTGATCACCGGTGCGTCACGCAGGCCATGCCCGAGGCTGTTGAAGTCGTGAGAGTCCTTGTTGACGTCTAGTCAGTATGGCCTCCTCTGTAGGTGACATGCCATGCCTGGTGGACTCTTGTCTTGGTGGAGTGCCGAGGCCTAGCGGGTGCTGGAGCTGATCGTGCCGAGGCCTTCTTTGCCGAGGCCTCGGAGGTGACCTGTGTACGACGCAGGGGTCTCGGTGGTCTGTGTCGTGCCCGATTCCGATGAAAAAGTGCGGAATGGGCGTCCGCAGGGAGCCGTAGTCTCTGCACCGTCAGTAGGGGATGGTAAAAAGGTGATTTGACCGCCGTCCCATCGCCCTTTTTGCCATACCCTGCCAATCGTGGCTGACGTAGGCGTAACTAGGGATACTTACACGGATGGGACGGCCCGCCAGAGGGACAATTGAGGCGGAGGCGACGAGAATGCGGGACGAGCCCGGCCTCGGCCGAGGCGGAGAAGGAAGGGCGCGTCCGAGGCCTTGCCGGGGGGTCTCGGACGAGGCAGAGACCGAGCAGCTGGGCTCTCCTACTGTTTCCGAGGCTACAGGGACATGGACTCGACCTTCCATGCCGCTTTGTCCTTGGCGCAGGGGTTAGGTAGCACAGGGCAGTATAAGTGTCAGGGGGGAGCACAGTGGTGAGTATAGTGGCAGGTAACCCCTGCTGTGCCCGGTCCCTGTCCTATCAGTTGTTCTGCCCGCACTGTACCTGCGTGCGGCTGACGTTTGCGGGAGTGGTTGGGTGCATTTAATCCGGACGTGACGTTTTGCCAGGAGTTCAGTCGGGACGGAGGTTACGAGTACGTCCGCCGAGCTCGGCCTCGAGTGAATCAGAGAATTGGAGATCCGTCCGAGGCCTTTCGGGGCGAGGCTTTGGTGAGAGGGTCTCAGCGAGAGGGCCTCGGTGGGACGTTTTAGGCCTGTTTCGCATGAGGCCTCGGCACAAGGCCTCGGGCGAATCAGAGAATTCTGCCGAGACATTGCAGTAGTCTTTTGGCTTTGGTTTTAGCAAGGCTTAAGCAATATTCTTGGATCTTGCTTAGGGTACCCCTTCTTGTGGTATCCGACAGTAGCCCCCGAGCCTCGGGAGGAGTGCGGGCACTCTCCTGAGGTTTTTGACGAGACTTGGTTCGCAACAGCTCCTGTCGAGATCGTGGTTTGTACTTGGTGGTTCTGGTGGGTGCGCGCGAGCGCACCCGCCGGGTGTAGCCCTCGAGGCCCTAGAGGAGTGGGTTTACTCCTTCAGGGGCTTTTCTCTCCGTTGAGCAAGGGGTCTCATCGTACTTGCAGGGCCCGCGAATGAGAGTTCGGATCGCTGGATCTCGGCAAACTTTGCAGGAAGAGCCCCCTATCCTCTGCACAGAGCGAGAGGGCCATCAGGTGATCTCTTGGCTTTTTATACGCCTCTCGCGCATGAGGGTTTGTTTGTTGTGACCCCCTCGGGTGCAATCCTGGGTCGCGGGGCCTCAGCATATCTGCAGGAAGAGCTCCCTAGCCTCTGCCCGGAGTAAGAGGGTCATCAGGAGTTCCCCTGGCTTTTTGTACGACCCTCGCGCAATATTTTCGTTTGGAAGGAGGCATTTGTTTGCCGAGCCCCCTCGAGTGCGAACCTGGGTCGCTGGTCTCGGCAAAGTTACAAGGAGAGCCCCTTAGCCTCTGCGGGGAGGTCCGTCAGGGGTTCCCCCTAGCTTTTCTATACGACCCTCGCGCTTCCTTTTCGTTCGGAAGGAGGGGTGGAATGTGCCAGGCTACCCTCGGTGGGTACGAGCGGTGACACTTTTGGTGAGCTGCATCGGGTAAGTCCGAGTGGAGGCCCGTGCCCCATTCGGTAGGGGTCGGCTAGTGGTCCAGAGACGCACTCCAAAGGTACCAGAGGGCTTCTCCAGTGGGTCCCAGGGCCGCTCGATTGGCCTCGGGGGCTCGATGCCTCCCTACGGTGGGATCCTATTCAGAGACCTCCCTGCCGGTCTTGGACACGATTTACGTCGTGGCAGAGGACGATGAGAAGGCCGAGGAGGAGGTGATGAAGCTTGGTGGAGGCGGCTGAGGCCCCTGTCACGGCGTTGGCCTGGCTATTCGAAGAGGAGGTGGCTCCTCCTATGCCGTCCGTCGACGCTAGCGACCCCGTGTTCTGACCTAGGCCAAAGGGGTCATGTAATAGATTAGGACGTACATCATTGTACCATAACGTTTGTGGCTGTTGAGGCCTTTTTAGTACTTGTGTATATATGCTTTTTAATCGTTTTCTATTATGTTTCCCAGTCCTTGCCCTCTGCTCTGTTTCTGAACATATCACTTGCAAAAAACTTCCTCGGAGCCCAAGCTGCCCCTCTGGCGAAAGGTGGTGAGGGAGTTGTCGTAGCCTAGAGGCGTAGGCAGTCTCGTGGCTCGGCCGGCCTTTTGGCCTCGAGGCATACTTTCGGTCCTTAGGTTTTTTACAATTGATTTGTCAGAGTACGCGAGAGAGTTTGGCGTAGGAATTTTTTGAAAAGACGACTAAAAAACGGTGTCCCCTTGTCTCGTTTTTAGACAAGTCCTTTGCAAAAACTTCCTTGGAGCCTAAGCTGCCCCTCGGGCGAAAGGTGGTGAGGGAGTTGCCGTAGCCCAGAGGCGTAGGCTGTCTCACGGCTCGGTCGGCCTTTTGGCCTCGAGGCGAACTTTTGGTCCTTAGGTTTTTGCAATCGATTTGTCAGAGTTCGTGATAGAATTTGGGATTTGGGGGGGAGGTTCCCCCCTAGCTCCCGAGGGAGGCTCGGTTCTGCAGAGGCAGAGTCGAGTCTCCCCCCTAGCGTTATCGTAACGCCGAACCTGTACCGATGGGCTCGGGGGGTTCCTCGAAAATTTAGAACAATTAAAGAACGCTTCTTTATTGTATTTCAAGGAAAATTATATGACGCTTGGGAAGTTAAGGGTAGAAGCGACGTATCTGTTCTTTGTTCCAAGTGTTGGTGAGGATTTCATCCTTCTCGTAGGCTAGCTTGTAGGTCCTGGGATTTAGTACTTGGGCGGGCCACCAACTTCCAAGTCGTCGATGAGGTCACTGGCCTTCCTGGACTTGTCCTCGATGTTGTCCACGCCGGCCTCGACGGTTCGCCCGATGTGCTAACCAAAGACTGGTGGTGCAATCACCGTTGATACACGGCCCCCTGCGTTTACGAGAGACCGAATGGCATAGTCACATAGCAGTACATGTCGAATGGGGTGATGAAAGAACTCGGCTCCTCAGGAGGTGGCGGGCAGAGCTTGATGACGGGGCGTCGCTGTGCACCACCGATGTCTTTCCGTTGCCCAGGCTTAAGCTATACAGGTCCCCAGCTAGGGACTCTGTGCCAACAGCCGGGCATGGGATACAGGCGGAGCACAGATCGTCGCCCTGAACTTGCACGGTGTCGGGGTGGTCCCGCCCGCGTTGCGCCTGGGCTGCTGGTGCGTGATGTCGCCGTCGGTTGACAGGGCTCTAGGTGGGAGGAGTACCATGTCATACTCGTATCCTAGAGACAAGAACTCTAGGCTCCCGAACCAGATCATCGTGCCGAGATGTAGTGGTCGTATGGGGTCTGCCATCCGGGACTTGTTGGGATGATTAAGCTTACACACAGTATTCCCCCTACCTGGCGCGCCAACTGTCGATGTTTCGGACCGGGGGGTCCTCAACCAACCAGTAAATGTGAACTGCGTGCCCCTAATCCTGGATGATGATGCAAAGAGACACAATATTTATACTGGTTCAGGCAATCGGCGCCCTACGTCCAGTCTGAGAGATCGATCTTGTATTCTCTGCACCGAAGTGCTTGTAGTAGGGGGTTACAAGCTGGGTGAGAGAGAGAGCTAGTCCCAGGTCTCGGCATGGAGCGGTGCGGGCTGCTTGAGATGTTGCTCTCAGGCAGCGGGAGAGTGTGAGTGTGTTGAGTGAGTGTGTTTGCGCGTGAGGGCCGGTGTGATTTCGATCCCTAGAAACGGCCCTGGCTGCTTCCTTTTATAGCCACAAGGAGGGAGCCAGGAGTACATGAGAGAGCTACACGTGGAGCCTTAGCGAGGAAGGAAGATCCAGTACTGTGGCCTATTCCTGTAGCAGCACAGTGTTGGGAATGGCAATTGGTACTTGATCACCGGTGCGTCACGCAGGCCATGCCCGAGGCTGTTGAAGTCGTGAGAGTCCTTGTTGACGTCTAGTCAGTATGGCCTCCTCTGTAGGTGACATGCCGTGCCTGGTGGACTCTTGTCCTGGTGGAGTGCCGAGGCCTAG